CAAACAAAAAAAACAAACAAAAAAACCCCAAAACAAAAAAAACCAATGAAACAACCCCAAGCCACCCCAGAACAACAACAAAAAAGCATAATTCATGAGTTCAGAAGGAAAGCAAACATGAAAGTACTCACTATTCTATTACTCAGGTGAGTCTCATAAATCTTCAACTTTTGTCCCTGTAGCTACTACTAACAAACAGAATTAAACAATCACAAGTAAAAAACAAATAATCCCCCAAATGGGACTGAGATAAAGAAATCCCTTTTCCAACTGAATGCTCTAAGCAATCTGCAATAAAATCATAGTGTCATAAAAATATGGTTGTGAGAGAGACTGAGAAGTCACCTCAGCTATCCTTGGAAATATTTGTCTAATTGTGTCATTCCTTCCAGCAATGGAAATTCCACAGCCTTCATAGGTAGCCCATCTCCATATTTATCTACCTTTATTATTCAAAAGATTTCTTTAACTGAAACATCTCTTACAACAGTATAAGCCCATTCATTATGCTTAATTCACTCTCTACCCAACTCTCTGCAATAACCTTTTATATATTTGAAGACTTTTATCATGTTTTTCCTAAATCATATCTTGTCTCAACTGAACAAATCCAATTACTTTAACTTCACAATATTTGCTGAACAGAATCTCAGCTGCAACATACAAAGTCTAACCTTGCTTTGTATTTTCCTGGGAGAAGAGATATGTAGAGTTGAATACTCTAAGATTTAAAAAGATCTTTTTGCACCTCTAAAGATCACTGCACCTCTAATTAAGAAAGAAATTGCAGACTACCTAAAAGACTGTAAACTTATTTTTCAGCCTCTATCTTTGAAAGTGATTTTAAGACATGCCCATCAACAGCATTTTAAATACAATTACTTATTTTTCATTTATTGTGTAAAAGCTAGATTAAAGAAGTGAGAGCAATTTCATGCTGAGATTTGTTGTCATTTAGATGCCTTATGGCAGTTAGATCTCTTGGCTGGTCAGACAGCTGCCAAGACAGCTCTCATCATCTTCAGCACAGGGATAATGATTTGGCTTTCAAAGGACTATAACTGTCATAGGACATCAAAACAATACAACACAAGGTGATCTTCCAGGTAGCTGGAATCTGTTATATCATGAATTTTCAAAAGTTTAGGCAAGCCTTGAAACTTTACTGTGTTTTCAATAGCAAGTAGATCATTAATGTAATACGCTTTTCATGTTTGTGTAATAGCAGGTGTTGGCCTGTCATTTAAGACTTACTCTTCGTAGGCCATAACAGTACTCGCTGTAAGATAACTTTGGTAATAGCATATGATCATCGTTACAGACAGGATAGGATAAGAGTAGGAATAGTACTAAGCTTATACAAGTGAACATTAAAATCTATTTATATCATCTTAGTTTTAGCTGGGGTAGCTATGTTAGACGACCAGAAAACATATTGGATGTGTAAGGCAGAGATGAGCTTGGACTTTTCACTGACAAAAACAGCCAACAAAGCAAATCTATTGCAAAGTGGCCAACAGACACCATCTTTATTTTATTCCATGAATTCCATGGAATACATTCCATTTCACACATTCAAGTGTGAAAAAAGCACTTTAAAGATAAAACACATGAGACCAAGCATGACATTACCCAGAAACTGGCATTAAGTGACTAGTTAACACCAGCTTCTGAGCGTTTTATCTGAATAGCAATTTCAAGACAGTTCTGTCAAACAGAACACACAATGTGTAAAAAACTGTCTACAGCAAGCAGTATCTACAGTATCTATAGCAAACATTTAAGCATTGTGCAGGGAAGCCCAGACTGGTGGAGGCTGCGTTACTTCTGAAATGAGCTATCTCTGTAAGCTAGCCATAGGAGTACAAGATTACAGCCTAGTCTTGCAGAGAGGATTGCCTCTCAGCTAGGTTTTTTGGGTTGGGTATGGTATTGCACATGACACTGAATTTTAGCATGAAAGTTAGTACCTCCACTCAGCCTTTTGCTGTAATGTGTAGACATAGTTTGGGTTGACACATACTTATGCATCTCTAAGCTGCACTGTTGACCAGTGTAAAGATTCCATACGAATGATGTTTAATAGAAACATGGATCCAACAGGTTTCCAAGAGAGACGCATCTCTAAGGTCCCAGAGATAGACTGAGTCATGGTAGAGCATGCCTAACCAAATTATGAAAGGAAAGCTTTTATAGATAAGAGACCTTAATTCAATCAGAAACTCATACAGCTAACCTCTTTGCAGAAACTGCCCACCATGTATATTTGTTGCCAAATGCTATAAAAAGCCTGTAAAGGTTTTTCAGAAGGTTGGATTTCAGATAGAAGGCTTTAGCCTGAAGGACAGCTAGGGAATAGAGGTACATTTCAGTGGAGAAGCCATGAAGCTTAGAAAAAAAAAAGTGAATAAACTGGTATAAAGCTTGGCTGGACTCTAGGGTGTGGCTCAGATTTTTGTCCAATAAAATATTCTTTACTATTTATGATTTAATATTCATTCGTCTAAGGAATTTTAGATGCAGAAAACCTGCTGAAAGATACCAACTGACATGGATTCAGAAGTTGGAATGCTATCAGACACTGACATTAACTTAATTTTGTTCTTTTGAAAGGGAGCTTCAGAAACTAATTCATTGTTTATAGATCTCTTAGAGAAAAAACCTTTTTTGTCAAGGTTTTCCTATTGTCCAAAATGTGTTAGAAAAGATTTACAAATAGCAACAACATGCAATTCCTTCAAAGAGAATAAAACATTTGGTATGCCACTTGGTATATCACTTGCACAGATTTCAAAGGATTAAGACCCAGAGAAAATCAGGAGACCAAGAGGAGATAAAAGGTTTGTTCTTTATTTTGCTCTTCCTTCTTGGTATTATATTTGCTCTTCCTTCTTGATATTACTTGTTTTAATACCAACAGGGTGGAATCAACTACAATAAAGTCAATGAACTAATTGTTTGCCCTAAAGATTTTATTTATCAATAGTGGACTATGAGAGATGAATAAATATCTGGAATGGGAAAGTATCTGTGAAGCTTGTGATTTAAGTCTTCTCTTTGGCGCTAAATAAATTAAGGACAAAATTCCAAAACCCAAGGTGAGTTCACTAGGAACTGATCCAATAGGAGAAATTGAATTAGTCACAATAAATACAGATGTCTACATGTGAGCTGGCCACCCCAGACCTACTTTGTTCTCAATGGTGAGAAGTCAACACTTTTAATGTGTGATTGATCTTATTACACAGGGGACATCAACAACAGGTCAAATGAATCTCTCCAGGTATATAACAGATGTCCAAGGTTAGATGAGATTAACCACACCCTTTGTGTTTCTGTAATTAACAAGTCATATAATAGATGCAATAGAAAGTTACTTCCAAGCATTAGCTTTCCTGAAGCTTAAAAGAAGAGTCAGCAGAATCATTATGTAATGATTTTGTAGACACACCATGACACTTCTGTCTGATAAAAATATTTGCCTGTAATATTGCATTAAATTTAAAGTTACTGTGTAGCAGCTAGAAGAGGTTGATGGCTGCCAAGAGCTATGAGGTTGCTGAATGGTGTTTCTGGAGCCTTGCCCAGAGTTGAGACAAAATTTGACTCATCTTCATGCATACATTTGCAATATACATCCAAACTAAAATAAGGATTTAACTCCATCACAAGGTTCTAGTGATATCATGTTAGAGATAAGACTTTATAATAGTATCAGTAGAAGCTTCTAAGTGACTCTAAAGAGAAAGGTGACCTTTCCATAGCTATATTGTTTGGGATGTTTGTGACCTTGAATAGTGTTCTCCCAGAATGCACACGCCTCAAGCGCCAATTCAATTGCTGGCAGCAGGATAATTACAATTTGAGCTCCATTTTGTTTCTTTGTACTACTCCAGAGTATATTAGCAAATATTGCAGTGAGTAGGAAATACTGTAGTTGGGAAGGCTATGCCTGCAAAAATTTAGAAACTGTAGGATAGGAATCGAGCTAGATCAGGACTGATGAATTCATCATATCTATTTTTGCTTACATTTTCAGCTAACAATCTTCCAACAAAAAATGGACATAAAAGAGAGAGAGGAACAAAGAGAAAATATGAAGATTGCATGACATTTACATTACATCATTCTGTTCAATCTGCTTATATGTTATAGCATTTTATGCAATCTTTTTCTGACCTATCTGTTCAAACCGTAAGCTTCTTGATATCTATCCTGTCACTTACTGAATTCTCATGCACTTCTGAGTACAAGGGAAGTCCCAGTCTCAAGTAAGATTTTTAGGCATCACCATGATACAAACAGTAATAAGAAATACCTTCAAACAGCTAACTAACTCATATTCCAACTTTTTTGATAGTTAATCTTTTGATCTGCATGCTGAAGAGATCAGTAAATAATAATCTGGGAATGGAGATAAAAAATATATTTTTTTTAATTACTGAAGTAGCACTTTTTCCAAGTATCACATCATCCATCCAAAGATGGAAGCACTAAACCCTATGAGTTCAAAGGAATCCCATGAGCTCTAGTCTCTGTTTCTTGTACATAGGTAATTTGATTCCAATAGTTCTACTGGATAACCAAACAGGTTTCAAAAATGGTTGTACTTTTACTGAGAAAAGTTGTTCTGCAGTTTTTCAGATGGATAACCTTCTTAACTGTGGCTCTGGATTTTAAAAAAGAATTGGTGAACAATAATGCAGTAAGAAAATTATCAACATGCACTGTTCACAATGTTATTGCACCAGCTTTAGTCACAAGGCTCATACTGGTCAGTTGGATTGCAACATTTTGACATATGGTAATTACCACAGTGGAGAAGAAAATGCTCAAAGAGACAGAAAGGATTTATAATTCACGGTGTTAAAAAAAGTATTAACAATAGATGCTGTAGCAAAATACTGTCTTTTGTTATCACTATGCAGTAATACAATAGTTGAAGTTATTCTTACTATTTTGTCTAATTACTATAAAAAAAATGCAACATTTAGTCTTACCACTGAGAAGCCAGTGTGGAAAAGATATCGGTGGTTTCAGGTTCTTGGAACAGTTTCAAAAGTTCTGGTTCAGATGATAAGTCAGCAAGGATCCTTAACTCAATATGGGAAAAATCTAGAAAACAGAGTGTTAAAATAAATCTATTGCTCTAGAATAAAAACATTCCTGCATTTTAACCAAACTATCACAAATTAAAACACAAGCCTGGACTGTTCAGTCTTTTCCTTGCACTCAAAAAAACCAGATGCCTGTAAAAAGCTCACCCTGAAGAAGCTAAATTCCAGCTACAGATCACAAGGTGTCTGATTCCTTCATTATCTTCAGGTGTCAATTAATCTTATTAGCTCTTTTTTCCTACTGACAAGGCTTACATATCATCCACTTCCAAAGCACACTAAGGACTATACATCATATAACAATATTAATTGATACTAAGGGATTTGACAGCCTTGTAAAATATAACGTCATCCAAAGGAGAGGGGAACAAGAAGTGACAGAACTGCAAACATTAATATGTATGAGAATAATAATACATACTATCTTACCTGCTGCTAAAAATGTATGTTCTTTTCTTGAAACAAACAATGATCTTGGGGAAATAGTTACTATTTCCTCTTCTTTTCCTAGAGAGGAGATAGACATTTAAGTCCCAAACCCCAGTCCAAATATTGTGTTGCAAACCTTAGGAGGTTGTAAATGACATACCAAACATGCAACTAAAACTACACAAATGGCAATGTAAGCAACCTAGCAGAGCACCAACTGCCACAATTATTTTACTCTATCATCCATGTACAACATCTTTACCTCTGCCATCCTTGCAGTACCGCTTACTTCTCCTCCTTTTTCAAAATCAAACCCCCTTCCCAAAACACTAGCTAACATATATCTACAATAACTAACATTATTCACAGATCACTTAATAAAGGAGGCATTCAGATAAGGAAGGGTCTATAGAGATGAACTAAAAAATATATTTTCTTCTCTTTGAACATGCCGCAGTGATGTGTTAATAACCAAATTCTGAGTTACAGGTGACAGGGGAATACAATATTGAGAACATACAGCTGATACAAGCATCCAAATTCAAATGACAGAAATCCCCTATAATATCACAGAGCAATAACGTACATTGACAAGGTATTAGAAACTCAGTGCACCCTGGGAATACCAGTTGTCTTGGTGTAGAAAGGGCTGGTGGTTTGAAATACAACAGAATTAATCTGATCAGCATAAAAGTGGAAAAAATAAGTGTGTCTTGATTCAGGAATGAAAAAAACTTTCTAATACATTTTTGAGAAGCACAGGTTATAAGATCATTAACAAAACTGATTGGACTGTTTCCAGAAAGGCCTATGTGCCACTGTTATGCACGACAGCTCAGGTTTACACAGCCACTGCTCACAGATTTTTTTATAACAACTTTTAAAAAATACTTATAAAAATGAATCAGGTAGACAAAACTGCTGTCAAAGTTTTACATTGTCTTCAACAGACTCCTGTTTTATGATCTGTATTATTTCAAACAGAGGGAGTGAATAGCTGTGAAAAGGCAAGCCTGCCCTTACCTGAGAACCAAGTGCAACAAATGAGCAGCATTTCCCAGCTATGGCTGTAGGCATTCAAGAAGGAGAGTTTATGTTGGCAAATCTCTCTTCTATTTGAGTCTACTATTGTGGGTTTCCTCTCTTTATCACTTGGATCATGCTTTTCTAGACTTTACTTTGATTCTCTCCGAATCATCTGCCCTAAATCCACTTCGGTTATCAAAAACAACACATCTGACTAACTACTGGCATTTAGTTGTGAGTTTGATTAAAATGACCCAGCTTTAACATCTCCTCAGGAAAAGCCTTATGAGGTGAATGCACACAAAATCATCCCTAGGATATTTAATAGAGTTAAGATGCATATTTTCATCTGGAAAAAGGAACAGTAAGATAGTCAAGGGAAACAAAAAAAAAATCTAAAAGTTTGTGACTATTTAGATCAGTGCTGAAACAGCAATCTTTCTGCAGGAACAACTAGCAAAAAGTAATTGGTTTAAATGATCATGCATAACTAAGCATCAATAATTTATTCTATTCTTTAATACTGGAGCTATTGGTCTGCTTTAAAATACAATATAAATCAATAAAATAATTAGATAAATTTGCCTTTTTATGTTAATAAAAAACAGTTTACCTTTTATGTACCATTTCTTTGTAATTCTAACTGGATGTTTAGAGATACCTTGAATGTTCTACAAATAAGAAGATATAAATGCTTAGTAAGTTAAAGTTTATGAAAACATGTTTATGAACAGTTTAAGCAGCATAAAAACATTAGTGATACTAACGCCAACAAGTTTTTCCCCTATAATAATAAGATTAACCACTTTGCCTTTCAAAGGAATCTTCATGCTTCTGTAACTATAGATACTTTTGAATATTTGCTCTTCCTTGAAAATTGGAAGCTTGTAAGAACGATTTCTCACTGGCAGCCTTTCCAAATCCTAATCTCTGGATGCACCATAGAACATAATTAGTAACCCAATAAAAATAATCATCATCTTATTTTAACCTGTATGTTTTAGATATGGTGCATGACTTTCAAGAAAAGAATACACGTGAACCCTGCCTTAAGGGAACCGATTCTTCTTCAGCCTCTAGAAATTTTTCTAATATCTATTCCCACTTTTTTGAAATGCATGAGAAAATAAAGAAGGCGCTCTTTATTAACTACAGCACATCAGTCAAGGTTAAAAGTGAGAACTAATTTTATCAACAAACATGCAAGAGTAGGAATAACAGAAGATTTTTCTTTAAAGATTTGGGTTCATACACCTCCAGTAAAGTGTGAAAGATGGTACGCGATAGCTTCCTTCTGTTATTTTATGTCATTATGCCTATTCATCTAGAAAGGTAACACATGACAAGAGATAATGTGTATCAAGCTCAATTTTTGTAATTCCACACAATTAGTTTGCAAGTGGTTCAGAAATTAGATGAACATACTAATATTATGTAATACTGTGAATTCAGGAGATGGGAATAGTGCTATATAATTTCCAAATCAGAATGATCATTTTCTATGTAATTTTGAACTCAAAATTGTTATTTTAAACTTAAGAGGGATGTAATCAGACTGCAAAAGCTATTGAAATTTAAAGCAGAAGCAAAAGAACAAAACCCCCAAAACAGAACAGTATCATTTCTAGTCTTAGTATCACCCTTAAAGATCTACAATTAAATGTATTAAAGTTGAACACCCACCACAGCACCATACACAGAGAGAGAGATATAGGAAACTACTACATAATACACATAATATTTTCACAGCATGGGTAAACTACGAACACTGCTCTCAATCCATCAATACGAAGTTTGACCCAGAAGAAACACTTGCCATCTTTAATATTTTATTCTCCAGTTTCTAGAAACATTTAAAAACACAATTGTGGCAATGCTTATTGTAATGCTATTAACGACATTTTGAAATAGGTGGTTATTTAATCTGTGCACAAAACTAACATTTCTATTGATAACTGTTGATTTCTATCGATAACAAGTTGGGGAGGATCAGTGCTTGTTCATATGAATAATAAGCAGTTTAAGTGGCCATGGAAGCTAGACTCCTCAGAAGTTTAGAAAATTAAGTCCTTTGTTATGTACCTGGACATGAATGTGGGAGCCTAATTTTACACATTTAAAAAACAAAATCACAACATTCTAATTCTGACTTGAATCATTTTAATGGTAGAGATCATGTATGGACTTTTCATTGGGCTCTATACTGGTTTTGACATGTACTTAATAAGATAACCTCCAGCACAGGTTAAAGAGTTGTTTATAGTTGATCTCACTGATTATTGTTCCTTAACTCATTAGCTTCAAAATCCTGAACAAAGTGAAATAAATAAAAATTTATTTCAAAATCTATCTACAATAGTAAAAATACATCACCATATCGCCGTCTTGTTTTCACTGACAGCATATGCAGAAACTCTGCTTTTAATGCAATTTTAGAAGTGTTACTAATAATTCTGAAAAACTAGTAAGTAATTACAAGTGCAAAATGTACTTTCACTTGTAAATTAGTTAACTCATAATTTGAATAAATCTTTAGAAAATAACTCAAGAAACATGAAAGTGGTAATGCTCATCTTTAAGCTACTGGGATAGCTTATTAGATTCCTCTCATCTAATTTTAGACGTCTTTAGGCTAGTTGTTGATCTAAACTAGCTGTCTAGAATCCCTCTATAGTCAGTAGACAAAGGCATCTCCAGTGGGTAGTTCAGTCTATCTGTATATGACACACACTTACAACAATTTGACCTGATTCCCCTGGAGATGATGTTTCCTAAGATTTAGATTATCAGATTTGATGAGATAAATTTGTTTTAGATATTTAAAAGGTGGAGAAATAAGGAGTTAATCTCAGAAAAGTCTTCCAAATAGAAAGCTTTCCTTTGTCACCTAATTTTCAACTCAAGCAGTTTTATTGTATCAAAAGTGGAAGATTGATGTGGCTTTGGTAAATGACTATAACCACCTTGGACTACATAAAAGCAAAAATACAGGCTGTATTATGTATTTATTTCAAGTATATTTCTGCAAAACCTTCACAGATCCAATCTGAGATGCGACTGTTATCCCTTATTGTTACAAAAGGGCATCCACATCTTGTTAGAAGTTACAGAGAAACAAAATTGCTCTTTCTGAGCAATTATGCTCCAACAGAGGAGAAGGAATATACTTGAAACAGTGTGATGGAAAAGCTGGTTGTGAAAGTTAACCATTAATACTTCTCTTCATTGTTTCGGGGGGGGGAAAAATCAAGCTATTCTAGTGGATGATTAACATGAAAATTCTAGCATTGGTTAAAAAAAAATTTAAAAAGCATATAAAAACAACACCATAATCCAAAATTCATTTCCAGAGGTTCCAATGGATAGAAGGATAGATGAAGCCAAGGTCCCAGTTTCAATTATGTTTGAAAGGCTGTGATAATCAGGGGAGGTTCCCGAGTGCTGGAAGAAAGCAAGTGTCTCTCCTTTCTTCCAGGAGGGCAAGGAGGAGTATGCAGAAAACTACAGGCCAATCAGCCTCTCCTCAATTCCTGGGAAGGTGATGGAGCAAATAATCCTGAAAAACATTCGCAAACATGCTAAAGTCAAGATGATGATCTGGGGTAGTCAGCATGGATTTACATAGGGGAAATCGTGCTTAACCAACGATAGCCTTCTGCGATGAATTGACTAGCTCGGTGGATGAAGGGAGAGCAGCAGATGTTGTTTACCTTGACTTTAGCAAGGCTTTCAAAACAATCTCTCATAAAAGCCTCATAGACAAGCTGATGAACTACAAGCTAGATAAGTCGACAGTGAGGTGGACTGAAAACTGGCTGAACTGCCAGGTTCAAAGGGTTTTGATGAGTGGCACAAAGACCAGCTGAAGGCCAGGCGCTAGTGGAGTACCCCAGTGGCCAATACTGCTCAACATCTCCATTAATGACCTGGATAACAGGACTGAGTGCAACCTCAGCAAGATGGCAGACAATCCAATACTGGGAGGAGTGGTTGATACACCAGATGGCTGCTCTGCCATTCAGAGGGACCTCAAAAGTCTGGAGAAATGGGCTATCAGGATCTGAGAGTTCACAGTCTGGAAAGCAGCTTTACAGAAAAGAACCTGTGGATCCTGATGAAAAACAAGTTGAACATGAACCAGCAACGAGCCTTTGTACCTAGGAAGGCCAACAGCATCCTGGGCTGCATCAGGAAGAGCATCACCAGCAGGTCAAGAGAGGTGATCCTTCCCCTCTGCTCAGAATGCCTGATGGGAAGGTCTAAAGAAGATTGGCACCAGTGAAAAGAATCTGGCTCAATGACAGGGCAAGAGGCAGCAGTCACAAACAACTACAGGAAATTCCATCTGAACATAAGAAAAAAACTTTTCAACCGTGACAGTGGTCAAACACTGGAACAGGTTGCACAGAGAGGTTGTGAAGCCTTCATCCCTGGAAATATTCAAACCCCAACTAGACATGGTCCCAAGAAATCTGCTCTAGTGGACCCTGCTTTGAGCAGGGAGGGCTGGACTATGAGCACTATGGACACATAGAATCTTATGATTCTATGATTCTGCTTTTATAACATTACTGCAATTGATTAATCTATGTATCCCAGTGCCAACCCATTGCCTTCTCTCTACTTTGCATGATTTCTGACTGAGATAGAATTGAAGCCTTCAATGGTATGAGGCAGTGCAAAGCCATAGAAAGACTCTGGTTTCATTGCCAAGCAATTTTTTTTAAAAGATAAATATATTGTATATATTTAATATATATATATAAAGTACACTTGTAGCATAACATTAAAATTCCAAGATTAAAGACAGAAACAAACATTTTGCAGAAATTGTAGTCAGTTGGTGCATCATGTCTTAAAATGCAAGCTCTGAAAAAAGAATTGTATTGTCTTGATTATGGAAAATATATGAAAAAATGTACATCCAAGCTTCATAAATAGTTTTGGTAAACCTGCAACACAATTAATAAGTACTACTTGATTGTATAAATGGAAATTTCCATTTTTTATGGTTTTCATAGAAACATAGAATCATTTAGGTTGGGAAAGACCTTTAGGATCATTGAGTCCAACCGTTAACCTAGCACTGCCAAGCCCACCACTAAACCATGTCCCTAAGCACCACGTCTACACATCTTTTAAATACCTCCAGGGATGGGGACTCAACCACTTCCCTGGGCAGCCTGGTCCAATGCTTGACAACCCTTTCGGTGAAAGAATTTTTTCCAATATTCAATCTAAACCTCCCCTGGTGCAACCTGACGCCATTTCCTCTTGTCCTATCACTTGTTACTTGGGAGAAGAGACC